CAGGTGAATTTTATTTAGCCTGGTCTACATAATGAGTTCCAGGCCAACTGGGGCTACAGGGAGACCCTGTCTCAAAAAAAACCAAAAAAAAAAAGTAATAATAAACCAGAAGTGAGGCATCAGTCATGGCAAACTGGTTGTGAGAAGTACCAGCAGCATTCTGGGAACTTGCCAAATGCAAGTTTTTTGCTCAGGCCACTCCAGTGTGGATTTTTAGGGCTAGGTGCCTTCCTAGGCTTCTCTTTGACCAATAGCAGCTTCCTGTCATCTGTCATGACCTATTATTTCCTGAGCTGGAAAGCCCTTCACTTCCACCCTCCAGGGGACCTGTAGGAGATGTCTGGCCAGGTCTAGGTCCCTGGATTTGCTTCATTTGGTGCTTGGAATGGTCACAATAAATTGCCTCAGAAATGTAAGAAATGTAGGAAACATTAAATATTAGTCTTTTCTTTCAAGAACCCTGTAAAACTTGGAACTTGATTTATGACAAGGAATTCTAATCTGTCAGTCCCACCATACCCTGTAAGAGTTTTTGTTTAAGGAAATGCTGTCCTGAGCCTGATGGCCTGGGGTGGTGGAACCCTTCTCCCTAAGGGCCAATTCTTTTAAACTAGCCAACCAGGAAAGTCTGTGAGTTTGGACCTCAGGCAATGGGAAAAAGACACAGTCCTCTTTTGATAGGGGATAAAAGCCCACCAAGCTTCCTGGTCCCATGCTTGCTAGAGCTGACTGACCACACAAGACATCCTTTTGCAAAAGCAAAATCTGCCTTGCTGAGTTACTTTCACTTTGTCCTTCATGTGTTCTCTGTGTGGTATTGATGGGGTCCTTGGACCTGGGATTTTATTTCTAAGAGAAACGTACTGACTGGACCCTGAAGATAATTTTCTTTTCCTTTTCTTTCTTTTATTTTCCCCCATGTCAGAAGTTAAACCCAGGGCCTTGAAGATGAAAGGATTTTGGCAAGCATAGAGCAGGAGCTGGCAAACCACCTCTGTTCTTATAAGTAAAGTTTTATTGGCACACAGCCACACCCATTGTGTACTGTGGTAGATGAATTGGCAAAGTAGTGCTAACAGTGATTGCATGGCCTACAAAGCTTAAATTATTTCACACCTGTCCCTGTTTATTCTCTGCCAAAAGTATGGTGTTCCCCATGACTCAGCATCATGGGAACAGGGGATGTGTCTTACTCTGCCTGGGGTTGCTGTAACAGACTGTCTTGATACCAGGGAATATATAAAGAGGTTTCCTTGGTTCATAATTCTGATGGCTGCAGAGTCCCAACAACATGGTACAAATATCTGATGAGGACCCAGATGCATCCTCACATGGTAGAGAAATGGCAGAGGACACACACCATGCAAGGAGGTCAAATGCCAGCTGTCCTATTTTATAACAACCATTCTTGTGAGTATTAATCCACTCCTGCAATACAGGCATGCTGTAAGAAGAACCGAGGGCCATGGGAACACAGAGCGTTGTGGAGAGTCTTCTCAGACTTCACCTAGGGGATCATTTAGGATGGGCCTGAAAACTTAGGTAGGAGTTTGCCAGGCAGGGGAGAGGGGTGTGCTAGAGCCATTCTGGATGAAGATCGCACACATCTCTCTCTGAACAGACATTGTCTAGTGCTCACTGAGTGCCAGGCACTGCCCAGGCCCTAAAAGGACAGCAGGGACTGAAGCAGGCCCTGCGTCAACGGAGCAGAGCATACAGTCAGCAGCAAAGCCTGAGTTGAAAAGCCTTGAGGTGAGCTGTGGGGCCCGAGTGGGATCTCTGATTTCTGTCTTGTCCCCCTCAGACACTGAACATGGCAGAGGACACTGAGGGTCTTACAGAGCCCCTGGAGGGAGCTGGAACTCTCTGGAAGGCCCTCAGGACCCTCCTTCCAGACTCAAAGGAGGAGCTGAAGCTGGATTTCAGTGAGAAGGTGGACAGGAGCGTGGCCATGCTGCTGCAGCGGGCTGTGGGGCTATTCTACGAGAGCTCTTGGCAGGGGTGCCTGCAGGCCAGCGAGACTGTCCTGGACTACACCTGGGAGAAGCTCAACACTGGACCTTGGCAGGATGTGGACAAGGAATGGCGCCGTGTGTATGCCTTCGGCTGTCTCCTGAAGGCCCTGTGTCTGTGCCAGGCACCACAGGAGCCAGCTGCTGTGGCCACGGCCCTGCGGGTATGTGACATGGGCCTGCTGATGGGGGCGTCCATCCTTGGGGATGTCCTCATCAAAGTTGCTGCAGTCCTCCAGGCACACCTGTGTTCCAGAAAGCAGCCTGCCTGTGACCCCCACCAGGACCAGCCTGCCACTAAGGTATGGGGAGGGTCACTTCCCACGCTGAACCTGTCCAGCAGCCCCGACCCATCCTATAGTAGAATCCAGTCCTCTCAGGAGCATAATCTCACACAAGCAGTTTCTCTACTGAAGAGTTTTGTATTGATTTGGGGAATGGACAGCTGGGCCCCCAAGTCTCTGCAAAGGCAGAGACTTTTAAGCCAGGGGAATGGCAGCTTTGTTAGCCCAAAAGAGGCCACTCACAGGCACAGAGCCAGCCTGCCACAGCCATGCCCTGTCCTGGGCAGCTGGAAGGAAGGACAACCTGCCTTTCTCACTATCTAACTCTGGGTGAGGTATCTCAGTCAACTGAGGTTCAGGAAGCCAGTGTGTCCTGCCCCTCTAATCAGTGTCTAGTAGGCCATGGTATTTGAGTACCTGTGCCCCACATCTCCAGGCCTGGAGCATGGCTTCCTCAGAAGGCTTACAGACACCCAGACAGCACCCATACTTCCACTTGATGAGCCAGGGACCGCCTTAGGGCCTTGGTGCCCTCATCTGTAAAATGTCAGGTAGGGTTGAGAGCCTTAGAAAGGAAAGGCTGAGGCTGTGCTGGATGCCAGCTGTGGAATTCTGGGGCATTTCACTCAGTGGTTTCTCGCCTTGTTAGAATGTCCTGCTGTGAGTATGGTTTGTAAGATGTCATTAAGTCCATGAGAGTGGCCACAGTGGAAGGAGATCCAGTCAGGAAGACAGACAGGGTGGTGACCATTCATGTGAGGAGTTGGGTAAGGGAAAAGCTGAAGCCTTGGGCAGAACAGCAACACAGCCAACCACTCGCAAGGATTTAAGAGCCACTAAACAAACATGCCTCACCTGTTTACCAAAAGAAGCGAAGCTAGGTGTGGTTAAGCACACATGTAATCACAGCACTTGAGAGGCTGAGGCCCAAGGATGGACAGTTTGAGGCCAACCAGGCCTATATAATGAGATCCCACCTCAAAAGAACAAAATGAGTTATTTTAATAAGTTAAAGGGAGACGTCGCTGGGTATGGTGGCTGTTAGGGTTCAGATCCACAGCAGCCCTGCCCCTCACCTACAGGGCCTCATGGGTTTTACTAGCCCCTGAGGTAAGCACCCTGGTCTTTAAAGTCAAAAGCAGACTTTTCTCCACCATTTGGCCAACACAGCAGGCTTCCCCTTTGATCTCAAAAGGGGGGGCAGGTTTTAACAGTCCCGCTCTTCTGCTCCCTGACACCACTGCCTAATCTTCAGAAAATATATCTTCCTGCCTTCTGCACCCCCCAAAGCACCCCCCCATAAAAGACCCCAGCTCACAGCCCAGGGGCAGACATTTTCCCTATCTGGAAGGAAATCTGTCCCATGTGTTCCTTTGCTAATAAACCCTATTCCACTGGACTTTTATCTGTGTCCTGGTGCTTTCTCCCTATCAACCCGATTAATCCATCGGCTTCTCCACCTATCAGAGGCAAGCAGATCACTGTGAGATCTAGGCCAGCCTGGTCTACAAAGTGAGTTCCAGGCCAGGGAGACCTGTCTCAAAAACAAACAATAAATAAAATAAATAGAGACACAAAAGGGTCTTCAGGGACTGCTCACAATCAGTGCTTCAGATTTTGACTCTGAGGGGCTGCCATCTTGCTTTGTTTGGATTCTAAACAGAAGGCAAGACATGACTCGACTCCCAATATGGCGTTGGAGAGGGCAGTGCCCCGACTCCACTGTCCGACCCTGCAGTACTTCAGGAAGCATTTTCTCATTCCTGGGAGGCCTGTGATCTTGGAAGGCGTGGCTGACCACTGGCCCTGCATGAGGAAGTGGAGGTGGGTGGTGACTGTAGGGATCTGAGGCCCCTCCTCCTCCGTGTCCCCAAGACTTTCTGAAGTCCTCCAGCCACGCACACACACTTCCCAAGCCACTAGGATTGATTGCCGAGGGCTAAAGAAGACTTTAAAGGGGCATACTTGGGGCTGGTGAGAGGCTCAGTGGGTGAAGGCACTTCCTACACAAGCCTGTCAGCCTGAGTCTCTTGGGACTCATGCAGAGAACCAACTCCACAGAGCTGTCTTTTGACCTCCACATGTGACACTGTAACATGCATGCCTCACACACAGAATGATATTTTTTTTAATTAAAAAATAAATTTGGATGCTGAGGAAGGGAGAATCAGTTTTCTTGAACTAGCTGAGAGGTTATTTAATCCCAAATACACAGGTATACATAAGGACCATTAAATGGACTCAGTGTGCTATATATGTATATATGTTTATATAAATGTATATATACATATGTAACAGTAATAAAGATGACAATAAATTGAGAGGGAGTAGGGGGACATGGAAAGAGTTGGTGGGGGACTGGGAGGGATGGAAATAAAGACAACATATATGAAATTCTCAAAACTAAAGAAAATTTAAATATTTTAAAAATTCAAGTGAGGGATCCCTAATTTCTGCAGAGGTCCCAGCTGCTTACTGATGCATGTTTCCCCAGAGCTGGTCCTTAAGGAGTGCCCGATGGGTGGGCTCAGAAGTCTCAGATATTTGTGCAGGATCTTAGAATTTCCCACCTTCTTAGAGCCCTGAGGCCAAGCCTGGAAACCACCCAGGAGATAGCACCTCCTGGGATTCAATGAAAGGTCAGATCTGATGCCAGAGAGAACTGGGCATAGGCCTAGGAGGGAGAGGGCACAGCCATCCTCCTCTTCCATGTCCACGGGCCTCATCATCAGATGCAGCCCTCCACAGATCAGAGGACAATTGGTACTGTGATTGTCTATGCTGAGCCTGCACAGCCTTGTTCTCCCTCGTTACTTTGCCGCCATCACAGTGAGACAGCCATTCCCATGGCACTGGGCAGCATAAGTACTCACGAGATGGCAGGGGAAACACTTAGGTGCATCACAGACAATGTGCTGGAGCATCCTGGGATTTCAGCATCCACAAGGGACATGTAAAGCAGTCTCTGGGTATGCTGTGGGGCACTTGTAGCTCGGGAGTGGGTTAAATTGGGCCAGCCTGTTTTGAAGGAGTATGTGGAGAAAGCAGCCCCTGAGACTCCACTGAAGAAGAATTCTGCCGGAGCCACGGCATTTTCCCAACAGGGCAGACACTGGCATCACCTCACACAGCAGGGAAGCAAGATCTCAGGCAGGTTAAGTAACTCCATAAAGGCTCCTTGACCCACCCTAGGCTTTCAGAGTTCAGAACCAGACACACCACCCTCTGCACTGCCTGCCACTTGTCTCAGGGTTTCTCAGCTCAGTAACAGGATGAAAGTGAAGTTAGCAGGACTCTAGGCAGCAGGGAGCTGGAGCAGCCCAGCCACCCAGAGCCATATACGAAGCCAAACAGGATCCCATTAGCTGTGTAGCCCTAACCTCACCTCTTTGTGCCACAGTCCTCTGTCAGTAGAGCAAGAGTTAACAGTGGTCTCTACCCCATGAGGTTTTGTGAGGATGAAGAGAACCAGAGGACAGTGTATCCAGATGTTAGCAGTGATGACAGTGATGGTGATGATAAAATGCTAATGATGATGCCTGTTCTTATAGTCTGGACTACATCCGGGAGATTGCTGGTTGCCGTACTGTTCCTGTGGAAGTGGGTTCCAGGTACACAGATGAGGACTGGTCCCAAACCCTCATGACCGTCAGTGAGTTCATCCACAAGTACATCGAGAGCGAGGTGCGCAGGGGTTTACTGTTTCACAGGCAGTGAGGTCCAGGTCTGGATGAACAGTGGTGACAGCTGTACAGCAGTGTGACTGTACTTAATGCCACTGAGCCTAAGAAAGATTAAAAAGGCAAATTTTATGTCTTTTTTTTGTTTACCCACAATTTTTAAAGCAATTTCTAAATGCAAAGGAAGCAGTCCTCGGGTGTGAGCTGCACCTGCATTTTTCACTAGAGGGAGAAGCTACAGTGGCCATGACTCTCTCAGACATGGCAGAGGCAGCCAGACCCTCGGTCTCTTGCCCTTCAGCCCTGCCTACCTGGGAGGACACTGATCATGTCAGAACCTGGCTTGGGGAAAGGGCCACAGGACAGTGGGAGCCAGAGCCATTACCCTGTGATGGGCAGGGCTAGGGCCCCACTTATCATCTAGCTAAGCCATAGGGGCATCAAGCGGAGCCTATCACAACTAACCAACTGTCATCTCTTATTTCATCCTTGGATCAGGCACAGGATGTCGGGTACCTTGCTCAGCACCAGCTTTTTGACCAGGTGAGTCTGAGACCTTGTTCCTGTCCCCTCACCCTGCACCCACTCCCACCTCTTCCTCCCCTCACAGGGAAGAGCCCGAAACACTCATGGCTACCCTCTGGTGCAGTCCTCTGAAGCAAGGGTTCCCCCTTCACCCTGCACCATCAAGGCAGGGAGGCAACCAAGCTTGAGTGAGAGGTTGGGTTCCCTGAGTCTGGGACCAAGGCCAAACTTTCAGGATGAGCTGCCAAGGCTGGATGTGGAGCCTGGCTGAGTGAGCTGGAGTGGGGTGGACCAGAGGATGTCCCCAGTGAGAGGCGCCCCAGCATTGAGGCAGCACAAGGCACAGAGAGAGGAGAGTGTCAGTGATCACCAGCTAGGTGGTTTATTCAGAAGAGCCAGAGTTAGAGGGTTGGATGCCTTGAAGGCCAGAAAGACTTAGGGTTTTATCTGGAGATGGTAGAGTCCTGTGAGGCCCCTGAGCAAGAAGGTTCCCTGAAGCTCTTTAGTGTGAGTGCAGGGAGAGAGCAGGGAGAAAGAAAAATGCACATTCCCTGCAGGGAGCAGGTGCTGCTGGCACCTTTTCCAGAGCAGGCCCTTAAGAGCAGATCATTTGACAGCCTAGGCCCACCCCTGCTGGTATAGCCTCCCAACCAGCACTGGTAATCCAGGAACGCAGGAATACTTTGTCACCAACACTTGGGTGTCTGGGCACTGCATAGTGCGTCTCCATAGCCATAGGATGTGGTGGTCTGGAGAAGGGGAATGCAGATAACTGGCAACTTATCTGCCTGGTTGGGGTGAGATGAGACAGGATGCTCACTTGTCATAGTTAAGTGCTGCTGTGATGGAATACCATAGATTGGATAAGTTATAAACAATAGTTTATCTGACTTATGGTTCTGGAGGCAGGGAAGGTTGAGGCACCACATCTGAGGACAGCCATCACACATCAGGGTCATAAGGACAGCATGTGACGAGACCAGGCAGAGGAGGACAGACTTGGTTTTATAGCAAGCCTGTTCCCAGGATAACTAGCCCATTTGTACAGTGTGCTGGATAGCTTCAGTTGTCAACTTGATACACCTGGGAAGAGTGAACCTCAGTTGTGGAATTTCCTCTATTGGATTGGTCTGTGGCCATGTCTGTGATGCATTTTCTTGATTGTTGACTGATGTGGAAGGGCTCAGCCCACTGTGAGTGGTACCACCCCAGGGCAGGTGGTTCTGGGTTGTATAAGAAAGCAGGCTAAGCACAGACCGGAGGAGCAAGCCAGTAAGTAGCAGTCCTCTGTGGTCTCTGCTTCAGCTCCTGCCTCCAGGTTCCTGCCTACTTGAGTTCCTGCCTGACTTCCCTGATGATGGACTGTGAGCTGTCAGCCAAATAAACCCTTAACTCCCCAAGTTGGTTTGATCAGTGTTTTATCACAGCAACAGAGAAATAAGCTAGAACACACAGTAACAGTATCTGTCCAGCCCTTGTGACCAAATCACCTCTTAAAAGCTCTCCTTAACATCATCATGATGGTGATTAGATTTCAACTAGAGTTGGGGGTCCCTCAACCCACTGGGGACCCATGAGCCACTGGGAGGACTGTTTCAAAGACCGGCAGGGCCACCATCTGGACACGTGTTAATACCCTTGGCAGACAGGTGGAGGCAAGAGGCAGGAGAGCTGCTGGGCCAGGAGTAGGGCAGCTTAGGATACAGAGGAGCTGCAGGCACCTGGATGTGATAGACCTGTGAGGTGAGGGAAAAGAGCAGTAGAGGAAGAACCCCAAACCCTTAGGAGACGACACTGGGGAGTCCAGGAGGGGCTGGCCAGAATGGTCTCAGCCAGGCCTAGAGCTCACCCAGTGTGTTGGTTACTTTTCTCCTTGCTGTGACAGAATACCTGACAAAAGCAATGTAAGGAAGGGTTTATTTAGGGCCCTGGTTTGAGGGAACACAGTCCATCACAGGACAGCATAGCAGTGGATTGTCATACTACATCCACAGCCAGGAAGGAGAGAGAAATGAATGCTGGGACCCAGCTGGCTTTATCCTTTTTATTCAGTTTGGAACCCCAGCTGATAGGATGGCATCATCCACATTCAGGGTGGGTCCTTCTACCTCAGTAAATTTCTCTGAAAACACCCTTATACAAGCCCAGAAGTGTCTCCTAGGTGATTCTAAAGTTGATAGTGATGACTATGATGCCCAGGGGAGCTGTCTTCAGGTCTCTGAGTCCTTGGCCAGTGATTTTGATTATGAGACCCAATCAACCAATCGCCCTTCAGAAATCCTGATAATATCATCACAAACCAATTGGAGATCTGCTCAGCATCCTCCAAGACCAGGTCTGGTGCCATCCAATCAGATCACTGGTTTGGGAGCCTGGCATTCTGAAGGGCCTTTGGGGATGGAAGAATGCCTAGAGACCTCAGAGCACCCACTTGTGAGGCAGCCTTCTGTATTCCTGCACAAGAGATAGAAGGCAACAGCCAGACCTCCCTGCTAAGAGATCATTCTGGCTTCCCAGGGGGACTTTGGTTTTCTTACCTGCAACCTGAGGTTACTGTGAGGTCAGTGAAGGAGTGGCGGAGGTGACTTGCTCTCTGAAAGCTCCTGAATTCCCTGAATCTGTTACCATTCCTCTCAAGTTTACACAGTGTCCTCAGGCCCGGGGCATCTGGCTGCTGGTATGAGGGGCAGCGTCTGCTCCCTTGAGCTCTGCCCCAAGTTGCAAGGGCCTGTAAGGAGCTCCCCAAGAAGCTCCTTTCAAGACCATGGCTCTTTCCAGAGGTCAGGCCACTGCAACCTGTCCCACTCCAGGCCTGATGATGGCCTTATATCCTGGCAAAAGCTCTCCCTGCAGCTTTGAGGTGGGAACTCACCACATTCTGCACCTCTGATATGTCTCAATAGGTGGTTTCTTTGCCCAGCCCCATCTTGCCAGGAAACACATTCCTTGGTGGCACAGGCTCCATGGTGGCACACACCTGAGCTGTGAAAAGCCAGATGCCAAGAATCCACACCATTGTTACAGGTGCCCTTTCCCAGGGTATCAGAGTGTGAGCTGTTCGGAGATGGTGTAGGAGGCTAAGGAAGGAAGAAGGGGCAGAAGCAGGGGGCACGGAGGCATTTTCCATTGCCACCCAGTGCTAGGGCCATGCCTTTGGCATGTTCACTACGACTCCTGTGTAACTGAGGCAGTTGAAGAGATGCAACCCCATCCACCTGCGAGCTCATCCCACAACGTCCAGGAGAGTCACACTCACCACAGAGCCCAGCATAAGCTCCCTCCTGGTCAGCTAATAGTGCTCTTTAAGTCTTGTATGGTTAACAGATCACTGCCTGAAGGGTCTCCTACTTATGACTCAGCAGCCCCATTATACATCCCCACTGTGCCAGGTCTAGACAGCAGCCTTTGCTTATTTTATTTGTGGAGTAGGGTGACTTACTGCTGATTCAGTTTGGACTCATTTGCTAGAGACTGGAGTCCTTCATCACCTCTAATTCACTTCTGTGTATGCCTGCTTTGTCCTCTAATGGCATGATACTTACATACTGAGGTCCTAATTCCTTACTCGCTTCTATGAATGCTGTATAGTAACTCCTCCCTCTCTAGGGTTAGTTTAGTAAGTATCTTACATTTCTGGGGGGTTTTTTTTTTTTTTTTTTTTGGTCTTTTTGAGACAGGGTCTCCCTGTAGCCCCACAGAGGCCAGAAGAGGGTCTGAGATCCCTGGAACTAGAGTTAAAAAGTGCTTATGAACCATCATGTGCATGCTAGGAACTGAACCCAGGTCCTTGCAAGAGCAGCCAGCAGTGTTCTTAACCACTGAGCCATCTCTCCAGCCCCTAAAATTTCTTAAAATTCTTATCCATGAGAATATGAACCTAGCTGGGCATGGTGGTACAAGCCTTTGATCCCAGCACATGGGAGGCAGAAGCTGGCAGATCTCTATGAGATTGAGGCAGACTAGTCTACATAATGAGTTCTAGGACTGCTGAGGCTACAGGGAAACCCCATCTCAGAAAAACAAATAAACAACAACAAAAAATGAACCTAAGGGGGGTTTTTTTAATAGCACACACTTGTAATAGCACACACTTGTAATACCAGGACTTGGGAGACTGAGGCAAGAGGATGGAAACTAGAGACACCATCTTAAAAACAAAGCAAAACGAAAAAATCCAGGACCATTTGTGTTTGGCTCTAAGGCAGTCAGATTCAGCTGAGTCCTGGCTAGCACACCTATGCCTGGCCTCAGCACTCTGCCACTATCACAGATCCCGGAGCTGAAGCAGGACATCAGCATCCCCGATTATTGTTGCCTAGGGAACGGCGAAGAGGAAGAGATCACCATTAATGCCTGGTTTGGTCCTCAAGGAACTGTATCTCCACTGCATCAGGATCCCCAGCAGAACTTTCTGGTTCAGGTAGGAACTGCAGCAGACAAGAGGCTTTGCCCTCCCTCCCTGTGGGTCGGGTTCCATGATCCAACTTGAAAACCAGGCTTTTGACAAGGGAGCTGATTGTGCTGGTGCACGCATGTAATCTCATCACGTAAGAGGTCGAAGCAGGAGGATCAGAAGCTTAAGACCATCCTCAACTACAAAGTTAGTTCGAAGCCAACCTTGGGCTACTGAGACACTGTCTCAAAAAAAGGAGGGGGAAATAGGAAAGGGGAAAAGTCTCTCTCTGAAAGGGATGTGAACAGAAAAAAAAAGTTCCAGGCCTAGTGTAGGGCCCCTCCCAGGTCAAGGCTGTACTCAGGTGGGATCCTCCTAGGCCACATAGGAAGGTAGGAATGCTCTTGAGGAGGCAGCACATTCCAGCAGCCCCAGTACCCTCTCCCTTACCCGACCCCCACTGCTAGCTTGCACCTAAGGATAGGAGCTGATGAGGAACCAGAGACAGAGTATGAGTCACAAGGGAAGCAGCACACACCACTGCTAAGACCACCTTGTTTTTCATAGGCTGTTTCTAGAAAGACAATTGCCAGCCCTACAAGGCAACTCAGTAGCAGCTGAGAACTGGGGCCCAGGAGCCCAGTTCCTGGCATGGCCACTGGCTATCACACAGGTATTCACTTCACCTCTCTGTGCCCATTTCTCACTTAGAAAATGGAGGTAAAGAGGAAGCCCCCCCAAGTGGAGGTGTGGAGTAACCCAGGTGAAACACACAGAGCTTAGCACAGCTTAGCTACAGTGAGGTCACTTGTCTCTACTACATCTGGAGATGAGCACATACTTAGACTCTAAGCAGCAGGATGCTGCGTACAGACACTGGAAAGATGTGAAAGGACAGGGAGCCACAGACCTGTGGTTGGTGTAGTCGGTGGTGAGGCCACCCTGCAGCTGATGACCCTCTTTCCCAGGTGTTAGGAAGGAAGTACATCCGGCTGTATTCCCCACAGGAGTCCGAGGCTGTGTATCCTCACGAAACACACCTTCTTCATAATACGAGCCAGGTGGGCACATAGGGATCCAGGGTGACATGGTGCCTGCTGTGTCCAGAGGCCAGCAGGTGACTTCTCTGGTTTTCTGCAGGTTGACGTGGAGAATCCTGACCTAGAGAAGTTCCCCAAGTTCGCCAAGGCTCCATTCCTATCCTGCATCCTGTCCCCAGGAGAGACCCTTTTTATTCCCGTTAAGTACTGGCATTATGTGCGTGCCCTGGACCTGAGTTTCTCTGTCAGCTTCTGGTGGTCATAGCCAGGGCAGGAGTGCAAAAGACCCACAGCAGCAGCAGCACCTACTCACAGCTCTGAGCCTAGGTCCCCTGAGAAGCCTTCAAGGTGCTGGGGGCACCAAGAGGACGGAGCACCAGAAGCTGCACAGGTAGGGAGAGCCCCGGAACACACCAGACATCCCACCAAGACTCTGACATCCAAAGGCTCTGACACCTGAAGGCTGAAGGCCATACATGGTTGGAAATGGCCAGCAGTTAAGCCCTGTGGGAAGGCATGGGCCCTAGGTTGCTGCTGGACTCAGTGGTCCTGCTCCTTCTGAGCCAGTGCCTAGAAAGGTGTATGTATGTGGCAGGTCTGCTGTGTATATCTAGGCCATCCATAAAGATTATGGATGCTTTATGCTTTTCTTTGTAAATTCAGTTTTTTTCAATAATATAAGTAAAAATAATTTTAATTTTGAAAACCATTTGTTCAACTAAATCCCTTGGTTGCCTGTGATAGGGCAGACAACAGAAGTAGGGAGGAAGTGGAAGGTCAGGGATCACAGCCCTCAGAGACACTCCCAGCACACACCTGGTAGGAAGTACTGTTGTGTGTGTGTAGTGGGGGGGGGTCACATGTGTCACACAGAGGAGGAAGAGGCAGGCTCAGGCAAACAGAGTCCAGGTCATGGTCAGAAGATTTCCAAGCAGGAGCTGGGCCTCAAGGTCCAGGGACTCGCACAGTGGGTGGGGATGCCCTGAGAGGCAGGGTAAGCAGTACAGGCTGTGATTAAAGAGGCAGGTAAGTGTAGACTGCAGGCCCAGCTCCAGATGGCAGGGAGTTGTTTGGTCAAGACAGAAACCCAACTTGAACTAGTTTACAGAACACATAGCTGTGTGGGGTCTCCTAGCAGAAGTCCCAGGTGACTACAGACCAGGCTTCAGGCCTGTCTGTCTCACTGTTTTCCCTTTCAGAGTGAGGCTGTCTCCCAAGAGGGACAGGTTTGACCCCCAAGCTCAACTGCTGGTTCTTCAGTCCAAAACCAAGCCCCAGGAAGGATGCTGATGGCCAGGCCTGTGCAATCCCTGTGACCTCAGGCTGCTGACTAGCAGGCTCAGTTGCCCCCTCCCAACTCCTCCCCACCAAGTGACAAGGAAGTGACCAGGCCGAGGGATCTGAACTTTGTCACACAGGGCTTAGGGCTGCAGACCCTCAGAATATGCCTTTGGACAGCTGGCTCTGGCAGGGCGAGAAGCTGAGCAGCCAGAGGCATGGGGAATGGACTGTGGCAAGGCAGCTACAAAGGCCACTGTTCACAAACTGAAATGGATAACTCCATAATCTGTTCCTAGAGGAGGTTGGCACCCTGTCTAGCACTATAAACAGTTTTTTATTTGCTCTCATCTGGAGAATTTACCTATAACAGCAGCACAGCCAGGCACAGTGAGGCAGAGTGGGCACACTAGCGTTCCAGCTCACGTATCTTGAGGAGCCATGCATCCTCAGGGCTGGGGCACTCACTTGCACTCTCCCCCAGAGAAGGGACAGGCTGTACAACTCCAGCTTTGTGTAGTGGTCCAGCCTTTATGGTATCACCGACTGCGGATGGCAGGCCCACTGCTGCCCTGAGCCGCTGCTGGGCAGAAATAGCTGTGTAAAGGAGTACACTGCTCAGTTAAGCTGCATTCACAGACATGGGGCACCAAGCCTCCAGCAGATAGCCCACAAGTAAGAAGGCCATGAGGACGAAATGGCTCTCTCTGGCCTGTGCAGGTCCCCTGATTGCTGGGAGCCTACCTGCAGGGCTGCCTTCTGCTCATTGGGGAATATAACCCCAACTCTGAAGTTGGCTTGGAACCACAGAACCAAGAGGTCCTTCGGAGCTGAGAAAAGTACAGTACAAGTGTGAGGCCCCATTTGCCCCTGTCACTCATCCATGGTATAAAGAGGGTCTGCTCCATTGCCACAGCCCTGGGCCAGGCACTGGAAACGGCATTCAGCCACATGGACCTGTCCTTGTGGATGGGGTGGGGGTCACTGAGACCAATATAAGATAAAACAGTATCAGACCTAAGTACCACAAAGGCCACAGACAGTGACAGGATAGGAAACAGCAAAAGGGGGGTGGATGAGATGTCTGGGTAGCTGGCAATGAAACAGAAGATGCTGAGTGCATGAGTAGAGCTTCAGAACTGGCACTGGCACCAGCTCCCAACATCAGGGACAGCAGCCCCCAGTGGGAGAGCCTTGCCTGGGGAAGAGAACTTAGATGACAGGAAAGGAAAGTGGTGATGCACTTGGAGCAGAGATATAAGGGAGAAGAGGAGGATGGCAGGGGTGTAAAGCTTAGATGCTATAGTGAGGACAGAAGCAGGAAGGCTGGGAGCCAGGAAAGTGGGGATGGGATACTGTTTAGTCCAGTCAGTGATTCCCACCCACTGTGACAGCCAGGAGCACAATGGGACCAGAGGGCAGTGGAAGAGAAGGCAGGACAGACTGCAGAGACCTGGACAGGGGTCAGACTAGATCTGGGAACTCTGTGAGGGCCTTGGCTTGGGAGCATTAGTCCCCTATGGGGTGCTCACAATGGTTGGTATCTGGTATCATGGGGTTGGAGGCAGGGCGACAAGCATCAGGAGGGCTGGTGTCCACAGGACTCCTAGGTCACCCGCAGGGATGGCCTGAGCTTCAACAGGCCTCTCCTTGACCACACCAGGAAAGCAGCTGGCCATCCCAAAGCAAGTAATGGCAAACCACCTGACCCAGAGTATAGTCCAAAGGTCAAGGACGAGGGGCTGTTCCTGAGCTTCATCCTGAAGGAGAAAGGACTGGCAGGACAGAGGTCACTGGGACCAGGAACTCTCTCCCCACTCAGAGCCCCCAACTTCCAAGTTTCTAGACTAGTTCTGCCTTCTTGCCTTCTCTTCAAGCTGTCTCACACCTTCCTGGAAATCTAGTTTGGGGATGAGTCAGCAGAACACAGCCTCTGACTGTCTGCCTGGCACACTTGCTGTTGCCTGCTGAAGCCCAGACAACCTAGGCCATCAGCTGACAGGGAAGTGGGGATGACAGCTCAGAAGCAGGGACTTAGGTCTGGGAGGTGAGTGTGCTGGCAAGTGTCACTGTGTCCCAGGTGCCCACTCTGCAGCTCTGCACCAGGTTCATGGAGGGGAGAGTAGAGCATGCCTCCTGGCATGGACTGGTAACCATCAGGTTGCTTAGGTATCCCTCCTGATTCAGCCTGTGGCTTAGGAGGGACTGCCCACCCACAGCTCCCAAGGCTTCACTGCCCAGTGCCCATGAAATCATCCAGTGTGAACTGCACAAGTCACACTGGAGCTGTGAGCTGTGAGACGTGTTTGGGAATGCAGGGGCCAGTGAGTGCGACATTCCTCTTCCTCCTGACAAGGAGCATTTGGGAGGCTTAGAAGGCTACCATGAAGAAGTGTCTGGACTTCTTGGGAAACCAGCTTGGAAGCTGCAGACACAAAGCAGCTCCAGGAGAGTAAGGCAGAGGCAAAACAAAGTGGCCAGGTGATGTCCTTCCAGAAGGATGCCGTGGTCGAGTCCTTCCTCATCTGAGCTTGTGTGGGTCCTGCCATGCTGGGTTAGAAGGAGGCAGGCAGGGAATCATAGTGTGGCAAGTGCTGACTGAGGAAGGACACTGGGCACTGCAATGGACAGAGGCCACAGGGACCAAGGGCAGGAGGTGAGAAAACAAGGGGGCACAGAGGTGATGAAGGAAGGACAAGGTGGGCAGTGAGAGCCCTCACAGGAGTCACAGTCAACCCAACCACCTAAGTCAAAACAGTCTCAGCAGAGTACAGCATGCTGGTGCAGAGCCCTAAGAGTGGAGGCAAATGGCAGGTGGCTGGACAAGACAACCTGAGGCAGAGGTCAGGGAGGAGAAAGCTGGACTAATTCTCGGGCCCTCCACTGAAGTAACTGATGGGTAGCACTTTGTGTCACTGAGAGGGGACAAAAGGACCTATGGGGAGAACACGAATCCAGTTCAGTGCAGTTCCCAGGCACCTGGAGCCAGAGGAAGGTCCTGACTATGGGAGCTATTGACACCAAGGCCAAGGTCACAAGCCCAGACCAAAGGGTAGCCACATTCTGGTCGGGCAGTGGGTCAAAACAGGAACAAAGGCAAAACCACTGGAGAAGACAGAGAGGTGTCTTCCCAGGGCTGGCAGTGGTCCTGACAGGGCACTGCCATGCAGGACCAGTCAACTAGCCTCACCATCGAAGAGCCAGGAGGAAAGGCCAGGCAGGAGACCCTAGTCAGCAACCTTCAAGATACTTTTACTGCAAACATGTTAACAACAAATATAGACAAGAGAGGCAGTTCATGTGCAACATGGAGGGCCAGGCCTCTGGTCTCAATGCACAGGTCAGTCAATAGCAGGGAGCCATGCATCACAACGCAGCTAGTGCTGCCGGGTCCGCAAGGACTTCCTGCTCGATTTGGAGCCGCCAGCCTCTCTCTCCTTCTCAGGGTTGAAGACTTCTGTATAGAGAACAGCAGGGAGGCACAGTGAATGGCATGATGAATGGACAGGTCACACAGGACCCAGCTGGGTCTACAGCTCTCCTTTCCATGCTGAGAACATGTCCTGTCTCACATTCACTGTTAACCCTCCTTCCCGCAGAGCTGTGAGCAGGCAGCAGGGAGCTGGAAGTAGCTTTCACCTCCCTCTCCGTGGATAGAGCTTTGTCTGGGATGCCCACAAGCCTTGGGATTTCTAGCGGATTCTAGAGCCCTTTGGAACAAGGCAGGCAGGTAGGCAAGCCGCTTCAGCTGGACAGTAACCCAGACCTGCAAGTTCAGAGTCCTCCTTCCTCCTGTCTCCAAGACTGCTCTTGGTGCCCAGCCTCAGTACAGTAGGTCCCAAAGACAGCTGGTAGTGAGCCCACCCATCCCATGAGCACCTGGAGCCACAAACCTGGTATCTCATGGGGCCAGTAGTCATTACAGTGTGGGCAGCGTGGTTCGGAAGCAGACTGAAAGTACTTGGCCACACAAGGCAAGTGCATACGGATGCCACAGGTCTCACAGCTCTGACCCTGAAATCAGAAGGGCCAATGCACATAAAGCTAGCAACCCTCAACTTCACAACCCTTAAGAAAACTACAAGAAAACAGCAGCCTGGAGAGTTTGAATTTCCAGGTCCAAAGTTAATGCTGATAATAATCCCAAGTCCCTAGTGCGAGGCCTTCACTACAGAATTCTGAGATGGAAGAAGCTGAGGCCCTCATTCCCCCTCAAAGCCCTGCAGTCCCCAGGCTTGGTGGGAAGCACAGGCAGACAAGGCTTGCAGAAGGCCAAGTGGCAATGTGTATCACATGCTTTAAAATCAACACACGCATACTATATGCCAGAGACTCCACCTTCAAGAATCTGGCCACAGAAATCATCCCAGGTACTGAGGATGGACATACTAGAGGCTCAGCACAGATCCTGAGTGCACAAGATAAAAGAATCAAGAGGGAACCACGAACATCCAGCCTGGATGAACAGTGGTAAAGCCTGCAAAGCATGCACCAAGAAATAGAGAAATAGACACAGAAAGACACTTGTCACAAACCCTGCCACCCACATGGCAGAGGGCCCAGGGGGCAAGGCAGCAAGCAGGTCACCACCCCTCCACAGTACCTGGATGAGGAGGCTGTGGCAGATGTTGCATATCTTCACAGTGTCAGGATACGTCTCTCGGATGAACTGCTCCATCTCCAGGATGGCCCGGCCGTGTAGGGTGAACTCCCCTTCCTTCTGTGGGGACACAAAACACCACGCACTGGCTCAGTGCCAGGTCTCCTGAGTCCCATAGCCCAGTGCCCAGGAGGATACAAGGTCTAGATGTTCTAGCTATTACAGGTTTTCTCTAATCTCAGCCAACATGTGTCAGCAATGTCCCCTGGCAGGACCTCAAGGAAAGGAAAATGAAACAAAGACCAAAAAAGGCAATGGAGGTGAAGCCCCTCCCCTCCAGATTGAAGCATCCTGATGCCTTTGAGATGGGATGACTCCATTTGCACAGCAGCCCCACAAGCAAGTCACTGCCAGAGCCCCAGGCAGGGGAGAACTGCAGCCAAGCAAGGAAGCAGAGTCCCTAGTGAGTGACCCCAAGACAACTCCAAAGGATGCCCACTTCTCCTGCCCCTTGCCACCAGTGCCCCCACTTCTCTCCCAGCCTGTCACTTTACAGTTGAAGGTGAAGGAGTCCAGACAGAACAGGCATTGTCCCCACATCAAAATGTGAGAGCATAGCCTCCAAAGGGAACCAGGTTCCTGTGTCTGGGTACAGTCACACCTAGGACAGCCAGGAAGATTACTGTGTCTGATGAACACCACTGCCTGTCACAGATGAGGTGGGAGATACTGCATCACAGTCAACAGTGTGGACTCACTAGCCATTCTCTACTATCTGACCCCACTTCATTTATAGGGAGCTGCAAGAGCCAGCACAGGGGCTCGGTCGTTGGTCCCAGGCATGTGGGGTGGGTAGGAGCAAATTGACAGCTTAGGCCATATCAAAAGATGAGACGGCAGTGCCGAGCATGGTGGTGCACACTTTTAATCCCAGCACTGGGGAGGCAGAGGCAGGCAGATCTTTGTGAAACTGAGACCAGCTTGGTCTACATATCGAGTCCCAGGCCAACTGGAACTACAGGAAGACCCTGTCTCAAAAAGAAAAAAAAAAAAAAAAAAAAAAGATGGGACTGCAGGAGAGGAAACAGCTTGACACTCCTGTTTCTGTTACTGTCTTTCATAACCAAGAGCTGACTCAGGTTTGGGACAGTTACATACTAGGTTCCCTCCCCATCCACCAGGAAGTGGGAGAGGGTGCTTGTGGAAGCTAGATTTCCTTCCAAGGGGCCTGGTGACCACAGGAACAAGTGGAGGTGGGTCTGGGAGGCAGAGGAGGTGGGGGGGCAGAAATGGAGGGGGCTTTGTGCACAAAGCACTAGTGTCCTGAACACTGGCTGCTGTTGGGTAGATGGGAGCTTGAAGCCTCCACAGATGTGATGAGAGCCTGACTGACTCCCAGGCTGTCCTCAGTCATGTGACTATTACCTCTCAAAGCTCTCAAATCCAAAATGGCAGCCCTCTGCTCAGCCAGCTCCCTAACCCTGCCCCTGACTGCTCTGTACCCAGTCAGCCCTCTGCAGCAGCCATATCATCTCTAATAAGCCAACCCTGCCTCACCTTGCCTATGCTTATTGAGGCTGCTCACTGTTCAGAAGGTGAAGAGTCCAACCCTCACATACTCATCTCCAAGGCTCACGTTGTTCATACCTTCCCAACAATGTATGAGCAGATGCCCCAGCCCTGCTCCTGGAGCACCACCACAACTACATTCTGCCACAGGGCCTCTACACGAGCCACCACCCCTAACTCTAGTTAAAGCTCACATAGCCTATAGTTCCAGTGTCACTTCCTTGGTAAAGCTATCATGAGATTATGTGTCCTTTCCAGTGACAGGACTATCTGACTGGTCATCAGCTCCCTGATCAGACTGTTAGTCTCATAAGAGCAGTGACCAGACCTGGTCCTCACTCTTGAGTCTCCAAACCCTGGTATGGGCCCAGCATGTGGCAAACCCATGGGAAGGTCAAGTGAACTCTGCATGGATCCCAAGGCAGAATGCCCAAGGCCCTTGTTAACATGTTCAAACTCAAAACCAACTCAAATTGCATGTACTAAACACTTACTATGTGCTTGAAACGGTACTCAATGCTTAGCTCATGACCCTACTCAGATCCTCAGTCAAGGGGAGGAGTGAAGGAGGTTCCCAGACCTCCAAAGAAGACCAAGACCCAAGTGATCTCCATGGCCATGAATTTCGTTGGGGCCAGGCCTTGCCTGAGGAAGCCGTCCTGGAATGTGAGGGAGGTACAGCTAGTCAGTGGCTCTCCAAGCTCTGATGCCCACACTTACCACCCTCTAGTCCAAAGCCTCTGAGTTGTTATAGTACCTCAGTTCCAGGTCAGAACCCCCATCAGATAGGAAAAGGCATCCTTGAGCTGATACAGCCACATGGTAAGACTCCCTAGCACACACAGGCTGCTTCCATGGGATATGAAGATGACTCTGAAACCAGGTCCCTCTGATCAAGGTAATGGGCCACAGGAAGGCTTGTCAGCAACCCACTCATCAGTCCCTCAGTGAGTAAAGAGATCCTCCCAACAGAACTCACTGCAGCCCTGAATAGGTTGTCCAGGCCAGAAAGCACAGTCAGACAGAAGCCTTAGCCAGAGGTAGTAGAGGAACTGGGAAGCAGCTCTCACAACCACACTCCCTACTGCCATTGCCTACTTTCCTGGGCTACATGGTGAACAAGGAGTCAAGGGATGTCCAGTACAGGGTTGAGGAGGGTGGGGGCTGAGGAGTTAAGGGGTGACATGCGAGTTTCTGCAGCACTCTCCTCCACGGCAGCTTGAGGGACTCCACAGAGCTCTGACTAAGCCAGTGCTGCCCCTGCAGAACCAGTACCTCCATTCTGTGAGGAAGGCACCAGAAGGACAGGGGCCTGGATACCACATTGGGCCCAAAGATGCCAGAGGCGGCAAGCTTGCTTTCTGTAGCCAGTCTACCAGAGGCAAAGGGCTGGGCAAAGGGAAACTGTCCCACAGTGAATAAGCTTTTCTACTATGCTCTGTAAGTTTTAAGTACATTCTGTCCCTAAACTTCATCTGCTAGTCGTGTTACCTACTCAGCAGGCATTTACTGAGCACCTAACGAGTGTCAGGCACATTCTGCAACAGGGCCAATGTGATAGCTAATCTTGGATGTCAACTTGACACGCCTGGGACGAGGGAACCTCAACTGAGGACTGTCTCCATCAGAATGAAGGTGGGGCTGTCTGTGGGGCCTCTTCTTGTTTGCTAATTGATGTAGGAGGTTCCAGCACACTGGTGGAACCAGTGTGGGCAGTACCATCCCTAGGCAGGGAGGCCTGGGCTGTATAAGAAAGTTAATTGAGCAGGTCAAGAGGAAGCAAGCCAGTAAGCATGAAAGCATGGTCTCTGCTTCAGTTCCTGCCTCCAGGTTCCTGCTTGAGCTCCTGCTCTGACTTCCCTTGATGATGGACTGTAAGAGTTAATAAACACTTTCCTCCCCGCAAGTTGGTTTTGGTCAGTATTTATCACAGCAACAGAAAGCAAACTAGGACAAGCAGTGATGAAGTCAAAAACACTACTCTGAAAAAGTTTGGCTCAAAAAGAGCACACCAAGAACATTCCACATTGCTAAACCTACCCCAGAGAGGATGAGAAACTGACACAGAATGAATCAGGAACTGCAGGCACCAGACCAGGGCAGGCACCCGGGTTCCATGCCTGCAACATCAGTATAAGCAGACCACCAAGCTGCACTCAGCAATGTCACAGGGCAGCAAGACTTAGGATGTGACACACAGACCTGAGCACTCCCCAGGAGCCACCAGCTGGCCTTCATTCCCCATGGCCTTTCCTGCTTCTCTTCCCAGCAAGAACACAAGATGAGAATTCTGGAAAACTCCCCAGAAAGGAAGTGAAGGGCTGCTGAGGCCTCAAGCAGCAGCCTCAGACCATGGGTTTGACCACCCAGGAGGAGGCTAGGCCCATGTAGCAATGCCAGGAGAAGCAGCCTCAGGCTGTGAAGGCAGAGCTTCGACCAACGGGGCCAACCTAAGCCCAGGCCTGGGTTTCTTGGACACAGCAGTGCCATTCATGGAAAAAGAACTGAAGCATCTGTTCTGCTCTGGCCAGAAGGCCTCGTGGAACTGCCTGGTGCTCTCCCAGACCCACCTATGTCAACACCTCCTCTTTGTGTCTCAAGGCCCACTGTCTTAGTGGAAGAGCTGAGAACACTGGCCTTCAGTAACACAGTCCAAACAACACACTATCACAACAAGCACTCTGAAAGCCTCCTGTGTTAGGTGGCCTGGCACAAAGAACCTTACACATTCATACCTGCTCTTTCCACCCCAAGATGGATTCATTCCTCCCCAGGCACAGTCAATGACAGCAGTCACCTGCACCAGAGCTCAGAGGAACACTCTTCCAGCCTCTTCCACTTCTGCCTACAGCATCTAAGATAGACCATGTGAGTATCAAGGGACCCAAGTCCTCTTGACAGAGCCACTAAGGGCCTAAAGCAGAGAAGGGAGCCACCCTGAAAAGGCCTGGCTCAAATGACATCGGTGGGGTAAAAACTTGAATTGGGAAGACTGCTGTCCACTCTCAATGAGCAGGTAGAAGGCCAGAGTACCTCAATCAGCCACTTGCTCTGTACGAACTTCTGCAGCACCTGCTCAGCCTCTTTCTTCCTCATCTTTTTGCCTTTGAGTTGATCAACCAGATTCAAAATGTTTGTGGAAGAGGCAAAGCCAGTTTCGGAGTCAATGATCAGTTCCAACTGCAAGAGACAGAGGTGCCATATTCATCTATTCAACTGGCATTGAATATATCTAAGCCATTGGCCAGCTCTGGCAGGGATGGGCTAAAGTGACCCCTCACACAGGCAGACTGGCACAGTTCACATAGTCCTTCAAGAAGACAATTTTATAACACATATCAGTAGACCTGTCTGGTCCTACCAATGTGATAAGCATTCCCATCACACCATCCCAGAGCAGTGCTCTTCCCCCGTCCCTGCCTCCCTCAAGAAGGTACTGAGAGAAGCACAACTGGACACGTGAAGCAGCACCTCCTCTTACTCAGAGGCCAGGGTGGATCAGGAGATACTTCGTGAACTCAGACCGGGCATGCTCCCCTTCTACCGGTTGCTGGGCATCCTGTACATGCACAGGTGTGTGGCCTTTGTCCTAGCTTTCTTCTCCACTTCAGCTACTGACACCCCAGGAACATCTTGAAACCATAAACCTGTGGAAGCCACAGTTCTAGGACCTGTCCTGAAGAGTTCAGTCTGGACAGGGCTAGAGGGGTGCACTCTTACCTCTCCAGTTACTGCTATATGCTTCCAGGGCTGAGCAAACTGCCCGAAACCCTGGTGCAGTAGGCCTTCCTGTGACAATTCAGTGAGCACCTCACTAAAATGCAGACTCGGGTTTAGCATTGTGGGGTGGGGACTGGCACTCAGGCTCTCCAACAAGCTCCCAGGTGATTTGTGCAGCCAGATGGTGAGGCCTGTCTGTCACTCCCCATGAGGCCTACTGTTGCTTATCCCATTGGGCTCAGGCCTGGACCAGTGCTCCTTGCCCAGGCGGTGACCCTCCATGACTTTCTGTGTCTTCCTATCGCACAGTCATGAAGCAATGAAACCTATGTACTTACAGCCTTTCTAAACAGATCCAGCTCGCTCTCTGCAAAATCTGTGGCCATTTTGGAAACTGAAGTTGTAGCAAGATTCACCTAGAAAATAAGTCAGCAATGATCACAATGTGCCTGCACAGGAAAGCTAATCACTGCTGATCCCTCCTCTCTCCTCCCCCACAGCCAGTCAGAAGTTCCAACACTGCCCAGAGTTTCTCCAGAGCTCTCTACTTCAGTTCCTCAAGACATCACTAGAGGGCACTGCCTTACACGTACCAGGGCATAAATGGGCCTCCCGTCATCTTCTGTAATTCCTTTCTTTATCTCAATATACAAAGACTCCAAGACACTGTTGATATTGTTGATGAAGTCCTCCAACTTATCTACAGTCGCATTGCCTGGAAATAAATGGGTAGGAGGCTAGTCAGAAAGTGCATGCAACCAGTTTCAATCACTTGTGGCACTTGACCACAAAGGCAGCCCAGCCAGAAGCCTTTGTGTGACAGTGAGCTCTCTTGGGTCAATGTCAATACTGTGTGGTTTCTTTCTTCCCAGTAAGCCTAGCCAGGGAGGGGGTGTAGTGAGGCAGGAAGTCCTGGGAGATGGTTATCTCAGACCACAGAGAGGCAATGGTCTTCCTTTCTCTTCTCCCAGTGCCCAGCCTGTGGGCCCCTCCATGGCTCCTCCTCCACATAGGCCATCCACTGTACACCAACAGACCCCGGGCTAGTCCTGATGAGGTACCAAGGTAAAGAGTCACAGCAGGGCCAGAGAGCGGCTAACAGCAACACTAACAGCAGAAGGGGCCCTGTTCTGAGCACACTCCATGTAGCCACTGGCCAAGCCTCCTCCCACTGGCCCTCCCAGGCTCTTGGCACCCTCTCTGAGCACAGGTGGAGGTGGTAAACCACCAGCCCCAGGCAGAGCCAGTGGTGAACTGAGATAACCTGGCTCTAGCAGGAGATCAAGCTGTGTCACCAGCAAGAAGTTATGGCCAGACACCTTTGTCAAGAGCCATGAATAATGAGGAGGGGATAATCCAGAGCCAGTATTCAGCCCTTGCTTGGAGACTTGGCCTTGCGCAGGCAGCGAGCCTCCTTTAATGCTGTGAGAGAAGGCACATGGTCCAGCTCTGCTCTCCGCGGTTCTAAAGCACTTCCTCATCACCATCACCACAGTTACCATATCTGGCTACTCACCCAGGAGTCACTTGGTAATGTCTACCTACCTCATAGCCAGTGCCCAGCCTACAAAGACCACACCCTTTTCCCTCTTTCTGCTTTAAGCTGTCTTTTGTCTATCATGTGGCTTGGGGTGGGAGTAATCCCGAGGACCCATATTCAGATAACCAGAAAGCAGGAAGCCCCTGAGAACGTAGAGTTTGAGTCAGCCAGGAAGGGACCCAGAACCAGGTCAGTCAAGAAGACAGGCTGTGAATGTGTACAAGAACAAAGGTCAGCTGGGATAGCAGCCACAAGGAAAGGGAAGGCTACCCTGGAGTCAGAACCACATCTGAACTAGCAAAGCTTAGGTACCACCTGTCTTTCCTCCATGTAGGGCAAGTGTCTGTATTTCCTATGGGCTGTGAGAAATGGCGACTCTCAGGCTGCAAATATGATGGCAATCCACCTTACTGTGTGCTGGGCACTGGCCACTAGCTTGGTGCATTCATCATTACAACAATAACCCTGCCAGGTGAGTTATTAATATCATCTTTATACACAAGAAGCATGGGGAGATTAAATAACTTGCTCGGAGTTTCCCTAACTTGGAAGTGGAGGCAGCCTGCTGGCCTCCAGATCCTCAGCCACTGGGCACTAAGCCACATGCTTTCTGTAGAGCAAAGCGAAGAGCCTCGCACACCAGTCCCCAGTACCAGCACACTTGCCTGGCCCTATGGCTTCAGTCACAAAGAGTGGCTCTGCCAGGGAGGGGAGCATCAAAGCATATGGGCATACCCAGGGAAGACTCCAGAAGAACTGCTGAAACAAGAGGTGATGTGCTGGCAGTGAGGGGTCAACACCCACCCAGCATGCCCTGGGTCCAGCCCCACTCCATCAGCATGGTCCCTGTGTGATCAGCACACACCACCCCAGGGCGCAGTGCAGAAAGGCAAAGACCCATGTAGGGTTGGCTCTGCTCCTTCTCCATCATGATGTGCCTGACAAAGGAGCAACTGGAACCCGGGACCCTGCAGCTTTACAGGCTGGGGCAACACCAAACAAAACAATCTCCTCTCCAGAAAGCAGCTCAGTCCACTGAGACTGCTTTTCTTCACTACGGACATATTTTCCCCCTTCTACAATTGAATTTAGTTTGTCATTACTAATGAACTTGCTAAACTAGGGCGGGCCCCTGCTTCAACAGGCTGTGGAATCCGGGCTTGCTGTGCAACGTGCACTTGAACAACAAGCAGTCAGGAAGTCTGCTGCCTTAACCGCTGGCCAATAAGTATTTTTATTCTAAATGAGGCTCCAAAGATAGAAAATGCTATTTTTAGGCAGAGAAAATAAGAGCAAACATAACGCCTGGAGCCCAAACAAGTGTAGGCCAATTTGCCCTGTGACAGCAAGAAGGCGGCCCTGCTGAGTCTGCCTGTAAGCCAGGCCCTGCATCAGATCCAGGTGCTAGGCAGAACAGGCTCTGAGAGATCAGACTCCTCAGCCAGGATGAAGGAAAGGCTGACAGGAGGGACACTGGGCCAGAGGGCTACGTGGGGGCCTTTGGATCTTTCTTTTCAGCCTGCAGTTCTCATCAGTCCTGGAGAAAATATCACCTTGACTTTCAGACACAGGACTGCAAAGATGAGAGCCATCAGCATCACTTCTAGAGTGCAGGTAGTGCACAGCACTACAAAGGGCAGGGTGGAAGGACAGGAGTCTTTTACATGGCACATCAGTGGTGTATCTGACAATTCTCAACATCAGTGCATCAGTTCACCATAGCACCACTCATTTCCTCAGCAGGCCCTCAGGAATCACCCACCCAGGCACGTCGGAACAATCAGTCTTCTTATTTAAATTACAAGTATTTATTTATTGTGTGTGCACACTATGCGCACATGGAGATCATGATCACAGACGTGACTTTCAGGAGCAGGTTCTCTCTTTCTACCGTGTGTGTTCCAGGGATCAAACTCAGGTCATCAGGCTTGCAGCAAGCACCTTTACCTGCTAAGGCCAGAATCAGTCTTCTTCAAAAGACAAAGGAGAGGCAAAGAACTTACCTGAGATCACAGGGCCAGAAAGTCATAAAGTCTGGACCAGAAACCAGACATCTGGCCATTAGTTTAATGCAGTGACACAAACACTTAACATTCTTGTTTTTTCAATTACTTGGATATGCAGTGATGGGTAAGAATTAATTCAGAATCACACTGTCATCATCATTTGGGCCAGGCACACAGGGCTTCACTGTACTGCTCTACCTTCTCCTACGGTTGAATTTTTCCACAGCAATGTTAAAAGGCTCAGAGACCTTGTTGGGCTGCAGTTCCCTCAATACTTTCTCCTGAAGAACTTGGGGTAGATGTGGGTACAGGCATGTGCTCCTGTTACCATGACTCCAGGTTCCCACTCTGCACTGGCCACTTGTTCACCTGCATTTGAACCCCCAGCACCGCATATCCAAGGTGTGGTCTGACCTCCTCTGGTCTTCAGTTCCCCCTCATACCCCCTCTGTATATTATGCCTGAGTGGAGTCAGATGTCACATCCCACCTTCCAGGTAACCTTCATTCTTACCTCCTTCTTCACGTGAGCTCCTTCTCCCTCCAGTCCTTCTCCTGCTGAACTTGTCACAACAACCCTTCTGTGGCTCACCCACAGAGCTCCCCATCTCAGCATCCTTCCCAGGGGAGGCATGTGCAGATCTCCAAGACTGGCCCTGTCACCCAGGCATCACACCAATGGCACCTCCCTGCAGGGTCTGAGCAGGGCCCCAGAGCAGACACAGCCACCAACACACAAGATTTCCACACTTCCCACAGCACCAGGCACCCCAGACTCCCACATCCATCTATGGATATTCCTCGTTCTCCTCTTAACTTTACAAGAATGAGAGCTCCCTGAGGGCTGGGACTCCCTGCCCTGCTCAACACTATGTCCCTGACACCAAGAACAGTCAGTATATACAGCTGACAGGTTACACACACTCATTCACTGACCACTGTTACAGCTTAGGCCTTAAACGTCCCCCAAAGGCCCAGGTGTTGAAGGCATGGCCCAAGTGTGGGCAGGTGGTACAGCCTTTAGAAGTGGACCCGTGGAAGAAGACAGGTCATAGGCATCATGCCCTTGAGGGGGGTGTTAGGACTACAGCCCTGTTTTCAAGGTTATAGTCTCCTGAACCCAAAAATCCTTTTCTAAGCACAAAACAACTGCCTGTGTTAATTCTAGGTGTCAGAATTTCCTCATGTCATATGGTAGATGTTCTTCCGCATGCTAATTATTGCCACTTTGCAGTCATGATCACAGACGTGACCCCTCCTGACTGTCCAGAAAGGCAAACCAGCCCTGACAGTGGTGAACACTAACTGTTCATCACGGCCAAAAGGGAAGGTGTACAATGAATTCATTGAAAATACAAGAGCATTTTATTTGGAATTGGCTTCTAATCACCACTGAGTCCTCTGTGGGAAGAGATGCTTATAAATATGTCTGCAGACACAGGACGGAACACTGCGCTGAAATACCAACATCACTGTGACTCACCACAAGAGCATGCAGCTCATGGTGTTCGTGGGGCCTCAGAAAGGCCCAAGGACGGGGAAGAAGTGCGGTCCTGTCACCAGCTTGCCACCATCAAGCCCGGCAGAGCAGAGAAGAGTTCATAAACACTGGTAAGGTTTAACAAGCTTTAATGCTCCTGTGATACTGAGCTCATCCAACTACAGTACAAGCATTTCAGGTGGTTATTACTTGCTAGACTTACTGGAAGTTTTTCAGGTATTATTTTTTATATCTAAAATTGTAGGGGCTGGAGAGATGGCTCAGCGGTTAAGAACACTGGCTGTTCTTGCAGAAGACCAGGGTTCGAATCCCAGCACCCACATGGCAGCTAACAACTGTCTGTAACTCTAGTTCCAGGGGATCCGACAGCCTCTTCTGTTTTCCATGGGCATTTCACGACACAGGCGCACTTACCTACATGTAGGCATAACACTCATACACATAAAAGTAATTTTAAAAAATTGTAGCTATTTTGTTTGTCCTCAGAATAATAATTTAAAACTCAACTAAAAATTAACATAAAAATAATAAAGCAAAGTTAATTACAAAATGTTTGTGGTACAGGTAGCCATTAAAGAAAGGCTTTAGGGAAGAAATACCAATGAATGCTAAACCAGTGGGACATTAATTTTGTCTCAAAGTACCTCGTGGGCCAATGGCCCACTGGGT